GCTCCTCTTATGTTTAACAAATTCGCATGTATCACAAAATAAACACTCCATAAAAGTTTTTTTAAATAATTTAAAATATAATTTTTCTAACATAAAAAAGGAAGGATGTCCCAATCGTCGGTGCCATTGTAGTATCTCCATATTGACTTCTTTATTTCCAATGATTGTTTGATTTTCACTTAATTTCACATATCTATTCAACACATATAAACCATCTTGCAACCTACTACTGTCAATCCTCTTTCTGGTTTGAAGATTCTGAAAGATGCAATGATCAGGAAAAAAATTCAATTTTACAATTGAGATCTTTAGATATGGTACTAATAAATAAAAAATTGTCAGAAAAACTAGACACATGTAAAACTGAAAACAATGTAATAGTAAAAGTACAATTAATGGAACCTATTCCTGACAAGGGGATGTATGACCCATCTGCTATACGGATATTATCTCTTTCAGTACAAGAAGAATAGGTTAAGAATTCTATAAAAGAGCCTGTCATGTGTCTGTTAGTTATAGAATATATAATCCAATTATCAGGAGTGGAAATAAGATAACAATACCTAATTTTACCATATTTGATGTGCCAACAGTTGATTGAGAGTTAAGTTGACTCATAAGTTGCTTCAAATTTTGAATTTCTTCTATGGAAAAGGCTCCAATGGATGGTGAACTAGATGTTCCCCTAACTTCAACAAAATTTATTTGAGCTCTTGTGGTTCCACCTCTTCTTCTTCCTCGACCTTTAATTGGTCTTTCATGCAACTTCCAACAAGTTTTCCTAGTGTGTCTTGGCTTGCCACAATAGTCACACTTACATATATCTCTGGATAGATCAGATTGAGCTACTAATCCAACATTCTCAACTGGTGCAATATGAAGTATGACATTTCTTGTACTATTTTCTTACTGAACATAAGTATAAGTTTGTTTTAATGAAGGAAATGGATCCTTACCAAGTACTTCGACCCGTATTTGATCATATTCGGTGTTCATACCAGTTAAAAAATTATAGATTTGCTCTTTTTCTAACAATTTTTGAAATTTAACTGCATCTGCAGGACACTCTGTTTAAAAATTTTGATAGTAATCTAACTCGTGCCATAATCCATTCAGTTCAGAAAAATATTGAGAAATAGTTATTTTTCCTTACTCTGTGCCATGAATTTTATTTCAGAGTTCATAAATCTGAGCATCATTACCCATCTATGAATATGTAAGAGATGCTGCATTTCATATTTTTTCTCCAGTGTTAAGCAACAGATATGTTCTGGTATTATGGGGTTGTATGGAATTTATGAGTCATGATATTATCAATTAGCTTTCAGAGTCCCATCTATTATATTTTAAACTACCAACATCTGGTTTTTTCACCTCACCAATAATGTAACCTTCCAATTCTTTAGATTTGATGAATAATAAATAAAATCTCGAACAAGTAAAATAGTTAGTTTTATTAAATTTTACGGGACTAATTTGTAATTAAAGATTATCAAAGTTAGTAACACTCATCTTTTTTATTTATGTCATCTTAGAATGCAAAAAATAAAAAGAAAAAAATACCCGGTAATGAAAAACGGACCTCCTATTTGCACCAAGGAACCAAAAAGGGATATAAAAAAATCGAAAAAATGATAAAAAAATCGGAACTAGATCTGGCTCGGCTCGGTTCGGCACCAGCTCGAATGCAGACAGCTCTGCTCAGGTGCAGACAGACTAGATCAGAGTGGTCTGGCGCACGGAATGGTCATACCAGATGTCCCGTGCGTGGAAAAGCGGACTAACACTAGGGAGGGGCTTTGTCTGGTAAATGCAGCGCGACTCAATGCGCGATCGGAGTAGCATGGTGTGCAGGAGGATCAGTTGACCCGTCTTCAGACGCGGATCGGCTGGATCAGAGCAACGAAGGGCGCAGAACGGCAAATCTTCCGAATGCGTGCAGTTGCGTGAAAAAAAGGTCGGATAATCACGATCAAGTCGGATTTTGTGCGAAAAGGAACCAGATTTGTCTCAATCAGGCTTTTCTGACTGTATTTCACCGTTTTTCAGGCCGAATGGGATGAAGCTGGCGGCGCGTGTGGCACATGCGCTTCTGCTGCCGGCGGTGCATATGGCAGACGCGCGGAAACTGTGGCTGTTTTGGCCGAGGTTGAGCGGTGACTCTGTCTGGGTAATGTTGACTTTGGTTTCTTGGGTAATTGAGTACCAACTTTGG